TCTTCTTCTTCTTCTTCTTCTTCTTCTTCTTCTTCTTCTTCTTCTTCTTCTTCTTCTTCTTCTTCTTCTTCTTCTTCTTCTTCTTTTTCTTCTATTAGTATTATTGTTGTTGTTGTTGTTACTGTTGCTGTTGTTACTATATTTAAAATAGAACTCATCAGCAAAGAGGAGTGATACATTGTCATTATCATTTTTGTTATTGATAATAAGATTTTATCTCTATTAACATTTTCCTCTTAACCATTACAAAAATATTTTCTGTCACTCCCCAGAGGTGACCCCACAGACTGCTCTTTCGGAGACCAACAGTCTGTCCATCCAATTGTCTGGGTCAGTGGTCCAAGTGAGCTTCAAGCTACAGGCTGGGAGTGACGCACTGACTCTTGAGGTAACCTAAGCAGGGTTTGACTAAATCAAAGATTACCTTGGCAGCTTTGACTAAAGAAGCACTGACTTTAACAGAATATACTTAAAGAAATGTTGGCTTAAGCAGAGCTGATCCAAGCAGAGTTTGATAAAAGCAGCGTCACGTTAAACAGCGTTGATTTAAGCTATGTTTACCTAAGCTGCTTGACTTAATTAAGCAGCGTTGACTTCAGGGGCATTACCTTAAACAGGGTTGACTTAAACAACTTTGACAAAGCAGCTTTGACTTTAGCAACGCTAACTAAAGCAACTTTGACTTAAGCATCCTTTGACTTGCGCATTGTTTGACTTAAAGCAGGTTTTACTTAAGCAAGTTGACTTCAGCTGCGCTATCTTAATCTTAAGCACCGTTATCTTAAGCAGTGTTAACTTTTCCATCATTAGCCTCTGTGAGATATTTGTTTCAACCGAGACTTAAAGAGCAGAGGAAACCAGCCTATGTGATGAAATGGTTAAGCCTTTCATTGTTCCACACAGAAGATACGAGCTCAATCCCCAATTAATGAATGGATGGATGGGTGGATGGATGGATGGATGGGTGGATGGGTGGATGGATGGATGGATGGATGGATGGATGGATGGATGGATGGATGGATGGATGGGTGGATGGATGGGTGAATGAGTAAGGAAGAATAGATTAATTATGACATCTGAAGTCTGTAACTTTTTCGACATTGCTTTAGAAACAGTATCAGGCTGAATGGTTTGTTCTAATTTGCTTCTCTTCCCTCCCTTTTTTCTCAACACTTAAATTTCTTTTGGCCTGGTATTTTAACCAAAAAATGCATTGGAAGCCGTTTTTATACCTCTTTACGCAGTAATTTCGCAGGCTGGTCAACATACTATTCTATTTTTTACAATTAATTTTCACGGTCGTTTCAATAAACTATTTAATTTTTATAATTAGTTTTCCGGGTCTTTTCATCAAAAACAAAAAAACATTTTTATTTTTATTTTACACAAAAAATATTAGGGTCGGTTCGACAAAGTTCCGGAAGACAATCTGCACGATCTGTACGCGCATGTCTCGGGTTCGACCCTACAAGAGAAGACTGTGTCCAGCTCAGACATCGTGGTCCAGATGAATGGAGACGAAGTCCAGCTGCAGGTGTTCAACGCCCAGACTCACGGGAAGGTGCTTTATCTCTCTGCGACGTACACGGGTGAGTCATTGTTACAGCAGCAGCAGCAGCAACATCATCATCATCATCATCATCATCATCATCATCATCATCATCATCATCATCATCATCATCATCATCATCAATGCCTTAATTATTCTGAATCAGGGCAAAGGCCACCAGCGTATGTGGTGTAGCCGTTATGTGCTTCTCCATTATACATAGAAGATGTGAGTTTGATTTCACTGTAGGGAGGTTTTTACAGAGACTCTTTCTGTTTGCTGTGATTTCATATCCAGCCCACCTCCTAACTAAGTTCAATTGTGCTGAAAAAAAAAAGATTCCTCTGCTCCACTTTTCCCCTCTACTATAGGTCCTACATCTAAAATACAAAACGGATTTTGAGAATAACTTTAGATAGAATGTTTCAATTAATTCCCACCTCTCCCACCCTTTTTCTCCATCTTCCCTCCTCCCTCCTCCCTCCTCTCTCCTCCCTGCTCCCTCCTCCCTGCTCCCTCCTCCCTGCTCCCTCCTCCCTGCTCCCTCCTCCCTCCTCCCTACGCCTCCTCACTGCTCCCTCCTCACTGCTCCCTGCTCCCTCCTCCCTG